AATGGATAAGAAAATAGCAGTGTGTTTATTTAAATTCAGGCGATAAATCTTTAAATATCCTTCTTTCTATTTTCTGCATTGGATTTAAATAGTAACCACAACTCAATTCGCTATTTTTATTTTTCTGTGCCACATTCCATTGTCTCGTTCTTTTTTATTACGTTCAAGATATTTAATCTGTATTTATGCTCACATATATCAGAATTAAGTTCTTTAGCATTTCTTTGTTTTGTTTCGTCCCTAACATTTCTTTATTTTGTATGCTACTATGTCTGAATGTAGGATAAGTCAAGAAGTGATGACCCACTTTTTTTAAAGAACTATCACGTCATAAATATCATTAATAGTGAACGAAAAGAAAATATAGCTATTTTATATAAATATTTTATATTTTAATATACATATATTTGACAATTGAAACGAGATCCGACCATTTCACCCAAAATTACCCTAAGCAAACTATAAAATGTACGTTTATGTTCAATGTTCCTATCAACGATCATAAAATTCTATTAGGTGATGTTATTATTTACTTGTCTTTAACTAAGCTGATCCAGTTGTTTGCAATAGATAAATTGCCTCATCGAGGTGTTCGCCGTTGGGTACTACAATCGTTGACGCAGATGGCAAGCATATCCGCTATACATACTGGGAATTACGTGAGCAAGAGACTCGCGTAGTGGAAAGTACACGAAATTAACATAAGTCTCTTTAAATGATGATAATCGCGGAATAATCTCTAACTATAAACCGCCCTTCTCGAAATACATCTGCATTTCTATTCCAATTAATCTCACAATCTTCTTCCACATACACTTGAAAATTGGAAATTAAAATCAAACATTGGGAACCTAAATTAAATGAAAATTGAAAAGAATAGATTTTCATAGGTTCAACGATATTTTCAGAACTTTAATATTTTAATTAACAATGCTTAGTTCTTCTTGTTTTAACATTATATTCTTTGTTTGGTATGGAATAACGTCTCCCACGTGTGATCGAAATTTCAAAATAAAACTTGAAATTATTTCATTTAATACTTCTCTGTTATCAAGGAATGCACTGCTCAAAATAATTCGAATTAAATAAACAAAATAAGAAAATATCTATTTTAAGTTGTTCAAAGTTTCATAAATCACCAATTCGAACACTCATTAAGTACTTGTACATTCCTTCTTCTAGGAATTAACATTACTTATGTCTTACGTCGGAAACTCATTAATCTATGTGATTGTATCTACGACGGCGAATCTTGATAATTTGTATGATACGACGGAAATATATACCTATCGCACAAATTATCACGTTTTCCCATTTGATCGTAGGCACAATTCACAAGAAACAATTGCTTAAATTACAATGATCGAAATAGAAAAATATTTATTTTTTTCAATAGTACTTCCACAAGGATTCCCATAAAATAAGATAATCAAAATCTTTTAAAGTAACTGTAATTAAATACACTAGTGCCCTAAACTTTCAATACTTATTGTATTCATAAATAAAATACTTAAAACCGTATACACATTTTCATTGAATTATTATTAACTAATAAGTAAGTTTTATTGAACAAAGAAAATCCACAACTTGATGGTAACTAACTGCTCTTTTCATACATGTTTTCACGAAGATTCAATTAACTCTATATTCCAAAAATATATTTTCAAAATATCACATCCCCTATTACAACACAAACCAGAACAAAGTCTCAATGTACAAATTAATTTCAACTACCTCTATATTTAATAATTACTTTTTCAGAATATCAAATTCTCTATTACAACACAGATTTTGGTAAACATTCAATCTGCATATTTCAATTACCTATGTATTTCATATTCTTTCAAAATATCAAACGTTGTGTATTAACACAAATTTGGATAACTTTTTAACCAAATTTTTCAGCAAGTGTACACAATATACACTGAAGGTAAATACACGAATAACGGAGACCGGTCTCGTTCCGACCACACACGTCGGAAACGCGCGAGGCGCGAACAATTCTGGGGTAATTAACGCGCGTCACCGATAAAAACGGAGAAGAGACGCGCGTATAGTGCCGTGACGAACAACGGGGACCGCACTTGCACGACGATCGGCTGTGACTGGTTAACGATATGGTTTAGCGAGACCGTCAAGCCACTTGTTCCCTCTCCAGTTGCGGCGAGAGGTAAATATTGCGATATCGTGAGTTTCAGTTTGTTATGTCGGCCCGTATTAGACCAGAGTTGGGTAAAACGTGATCGGATCACACACTGCTCACGTTGATTCAAATGTAACAGTTCTTTCGGTAAAATATCACTTTTTGTAATTGTAAATTGATGCTACTTTGTAATCGGCATTCAACTGATTACGGTGAACAATAATTAATAATTGCAGATAGTGATTCGAATGAAATGTTTCATTTAACCTTTTAGGTAGGAAAAATTTATTTATATTAGCAAGAAATGTATTTATATTAGTAAACATTTAAATTTGTATAAACATTTATTTATGTTTATGTTGAGTTTTATAGATAATTCATGTAATCACTTCGAAAAAATACAGTTTAATAAGTACTCGACATGCTTTTAGATTAAGATTTACCGAAAAGATGAATTGTCAGTTTTAGTTACATTTGATCTAACTTTGTTTTTATTTTGCTTTTATTATTTTAATATTTATTTTATTAATTGATAATTACTGGTTGAGATTTACTATCGAAAGTTGCATTCTAATTGTTACATTTAATATACAGTTAAATTACACTTTGTTCAACTTTTAATCGAATTAACATTTGAGCAAAAATTTATTTGGACAAACCAAAAAAATATTATGTTTCATATAACATATAAAACAATATACATTTATTATTTTTGTTTCATTTTTATTATTCTATTTGTATTATTTGATTCAGTTTTATATATTCTTCAAATATATTAATAACACAATTACTACTCTTTCTACCAAAATTATTGAACAAAATTATTAAAAAATATTGAAGAACGCATATTTTTTCTTTAAATGAATTAAAAACACTTTAATTATCTAGTGAAATGTTTCTTGCAGCATTTATATTTTAATATTTTGCAAGGACTTTTCCCTGTCATTTTCTTAGATAAAATTTGTACGAAGAAAGTGAGCGTACGAATACTTTCTTACACCACTTTCGTAACTGCCAGCGAAAATTCACGTGCATGTTTCCATTTACAAATATACAAAGAGGCGTCCTCTAACGCTGTCGGCCCGAAATGTGTTAACAACTCACCGTCACTTTGAACTCAGCGACAATTAGACTGTTTGTATCTTTGGCTGTAGGGCAAAACTATCCAAGTAACATCTTAACACAATTTCATAGCTTAGTAAAGATATCTGAGAGGCAGAAACTGTCTTAGAATCTGTTTTTAAAGAATTTAAAGAAAATGTGTGTTCTCGACCCCATAGCATAAACAAAAAATGTAGAGAAATAATTTTTACTACTTATAACGTATAAATTACTTCGTAGATATTCAATAGACTTAAGTATTTTAATAAAACGATAATTGAATGGACGCCTCTTATTTCATAGAGCTATAAAGTTTGTCATTTGTGTTCGACTTTACTGTGCCATACTTTAGTAATAAAAAGAAAGTGACCTAAGATTTCAGAAGCTTATAGTCTTCATCGACATCTCGACCGTTTTTTATCACTCAATATATAAGCAAAGAGAAATGGCGAAGCCATAAACGTAATACAATAAACTGTAGAGTTTATTCTCGTCATTTTTATAAATTGAGAATGCTGTGTACATACTCCAGGCTTCCCAAGATATTTGATTTAATTCCCGGAAACGAAAAATCATACATTTCAACCACATCAAATTTTTTATTGTTAATTCATGAAATCAGTTTACTGTTCTATTTTATCAAAATCTACAATAACTACATTTTTATCTAATTAATAATTACGTAAAACAATAACATTAATTGTTAAAGGATTTTTCAAAAATTCGGAGAAAATAATCGTAAAGAGAAATATTCTGCTGACAATTATCCTCTTTGGAAACTGTACTACCTATGTTTCAAATATTTCTTATATCATTAATACTTTGACTGTAATATCATTAAACACTCTTCAAGACTCTTATGCAGCAGAAACAGTTTTCTTAATAAACTAAAAATTCTTTAGAAACTAGAAGCTCTACTAGATAACTCTATTATCTTCCCTATATCTCATACATTAAACAAAATCTACTTCGTCCGATAAGTCATCAAGAAAATTGACGATTAGCACTAGAACTACCGAGCGTTTAACACGATTAATATATAATCTTTATAAAAATTCCAACAATAGATTTTTTTCGGTTTCTTCATACATTCGTTATAGTATTCAAGTGTTACTATTCAAGTTTTAAACTCATTTAGGATATTTAACACTTTTAACCCCTTACCCTACAGTGTCAGACTCATGACAAAAATTCTCAATTGAATTTGATAAATCTAAATGTTACTTACTTTTTTTTAATATAAATTGTACATTATTTTTTTTATTATCAATGCTTAATCTCTGGAGTAAACGTAAACATAGAATAAGCATCAAATTTTTTTCCTAAAAAATTATTAACCATAAAGTATCATTATCAAGTACAGTTATGAAAGAAATCCTAGGATAAAGGGTTAAGATATTAATAATCAAATAAACAAACTGAAACCCGTTATTTTGACGAGTGCAGTAGTTATAATGTTAAAAAATTATTAAATTTATGTAAGAGATGGGTGATGTACTAATTAGGCAGCAGATAAATACTTTTAGTATGTACAGTATGCAACATACTGTTGCTCGAAAGGAAAAATCGAAATGCAATCTTATTCTGTCGTTACTTCAGGCCAAGAAAAGGGAGCGCCAGTTCCAACACCTTTTATCTAATATTGATCATGACATTAACATGACACACCAAGAAACCCCTGGTGAGCGGCTGTGATCACCAACGCGGTTCATTCATCGTGTTTGCAAGCTAGAACGAGGTGATGACGGGGAATCACCGTGGATTACGGTGTGCACGTTTATATTATCTCATGTAACGACAAAGCGTTGTGACACAAGAGGTACGAAGTCTCTTATGAACTCGTATATGCTACATAAAAATCATTGAATATGGTAAGCCTTTGCAGTCTGAAATCATCTCTCAGGTGACATTTTAAATGCAATGCGAAAATTTCATAGTGCAAAGGGCTAAAAATATTCAATAATTTATTCCATTAAATATTCATAATGTGCCAAATTTCAGAACATTCACTGTTTGTTTTTATAATCAATAACATTCTTTTGTTTAATATTTCGGTTAACGTTTCTGTGTCTCTGAATTGGTTAAAATGAAATTTATCTGTTTCAAAATATTTATTTCTTTTGATATAATTTATTAAATAATCGTTCAATTAAAATTATTAAGTAATAGAGAATAGTAAGAGTAGATTTATAACTAAGAACTCTTTTATAAATTAATATTATGAAGTTTTATTTTGTTGAATAATTATAAATATCATTTGAAATTATATGGTTTGAACAATAATTTTTGAAAACTTTGTTCCAAAGTTTCTAAAAGTTATGAGTAGATGTGATGGTTTATGTGAGAAGTACTTTTTTAAAATGGCGATTGTCATACCAGAAATATATCCATCTATTTTTATTGGAATCAACAAATGTAATAGCTTTTTTAACAGTGAAATGTAGTTAGAAAAGAAAATATTTTATTCTTGTATTTATATTATCACATACAATCGACAGATTTGAAAATTTTCATGGAAATTTATGTAAAGTGAAGCTAAATAGAATATTATGTCTTATATTAATAGTTTAAGTAAATTGTACTATAAAACCAAATGAAATTTTAGTTTCATAAAGAAATCAATAGTAGTTTCATAAAAATTTCATAAATAATCATATTCCTTTTACAAGGTCATTACAAAGAGGTACATAAAAATCCACAATCAATTCGCCATGTTTATAAACTAAAAATAAATTATAAAAACTAAAGGTAAATATAAAAGATTCCTGAAATCTCCGATAAGGTGTCTGCGTGGTATCTGTAGGATATCAAATCGGCAGCAAGAAACAGTTAACAAATATTTTGAAAAATTTTGTTTGCTGTTATGACAAGCAATTCGGAGGGGACAGGTTAACAATGAGAAAAGTTACTAGCCTTCAGAGTTTCCGAACCTGGTCTTTCTCAGAACGATACCGTAAAGTCAATATCACAACGGAGACGAGTTCACCACTGACTCCTAACCCAGTTTCCCTATTCTCTTACCCGCTAGAAATATCCACTGGGTGTGCATATTTAAATAACTCCAGTTCCAAACCACAAAATAATATTGTGCTCAACCATTTCCTATTTTAGTATCTCTGGTACATCGCCAAAACTGTAACGCATAAACATCAATGTTGTTTTTAATGGCATACCCCTTTCGGCAGGATAATATTTTTTCGTCAAGTTACCAGGGTCATCGATATTTTCTCGCGCGCCAACACATTTTTCCCTTCGTGCTGTTTTGTAACTAGTATTAAAGTTTATCCGACCATGTTTCAGTCGCTAAAAATGTAAAAAGTTCTGAAATGACTATGTCTTGTATAAATGGATCAAAGAAAGAAAAATAGATTCGAATATGTCAAAAAATAGATTAATAGAGAGGTAGATATATAGATAGATGGTAAAAAGTTAAACCAATTAGCTAAGGAATAATAGCATACAAATAAATAAAATATTGCAATAATTCATATTAAAAAATGTTAACGCGATTACTATTCTGATTAACTTGATGAATTTTCATTTTAATTTAATGTACGTGTATACACCAAATATCTTTGAAAATGAACCTTCGTTTCTTAATTAGCAACGAGTTGGTGCCATTCGTCAAAGAACAATATTCAAGTGATAATATTGATTGCTTCGAGTGTTAAAGAGATCGAGATCTGTTATGAATGTCTCTCGAGTTCGTCGGAAGTATTGAATGAAGGAAAAAACTGATTCGAGACGAATGGGTTACCAATTTCTTGATAAATGTTCTATCGGCCGAGTACACGGACAGTTTGTACCTTCGAATATGTGTCAATTGTTGACACTCGAGGCTTATGGAGAAGAGATTTATCGTTTTTCGATATTTCATTACGC